ACATAAAAATGGAAATGACCATGAAGCATTAAAGAGTTGCAAAGATGTCAAGCCTAATTGTCTTGAGAGTTAAATTATGACCCACAAACTTTCAATTAAGCTTTTCATAAGTACAATTTAATCTTTGTAATAAATTTACCTTTAATTGTTTTTTTAATCAAATGCCTTAAAAGGTAAATTCACCTACCACAGTGATCTTCATCTGAGTTATCACCACAGTCATCAATCTCATTGCAAATCTGTTCAGGTCGCAGACAAACCCTGTTGTTTCTACATCTGTAGGGTCTTGTAGGTGGGCATGGAAATTTGACTGTATAAAGAAAACATCAGATAGCAGCCATTAATATAGAATAATAACAATTTTTTTAGTTATGCACAGGCATCCTTCAGTTGCTCATAAAGCTTACTGTCTTTGTGTTGTGCCTCCTTCCAGTGTGGCAAATGAGCACTGGATGTGTAAGTATTGCATGATTTTATGCCCTCCTGATGTGATGAGCTGGCATTTAAGCAGTTGTTACTTTATGAACATTTTATTATTTTACAAGGCTGAAATTAGAATTTTTGGGAGGGCAGATGAGATAATTTTTAAGGCTGTAAAATAATTTAGTTGACTTTTTTCTAAAAAAAGGAGGCAGGATATATTGGAGTTGCTCAAAAGCTTATCTAGTGTTGAAGCAGAGCCCAGCTGCTTATGCTAACAATCACATATAGTTGTCAATAGAGAGCTGGAAAATGTTCATAGTAGAAAAACTTTGGCCAATTCGAGTTTCCACCCCTTTCCTTACACTTAAACTCACAAGAGATAAAAGACATCTGCTAGAAAAATATAAACATAAACAATCTTAAATAAATTAGTTAATAATACATATATTCACAATTCTTTTAATCATAGATCTCAAATGACTTTACAAAGGGGAGTAAGTATAATTGTTCCCATTTTATAGATAGGAAAACTAAAGCACAGAGAGATGGAGTGACTTGTCCAAGGTCATAAAGCACTCACACAACTTAGACCATAACCCAGGGTCTCTTGATTCCTTTTTCCCATGTATTTATCACATAATCTCGCCATCTCTATACTGTTTCCTCTTTCCTGCCCTCATCATTTTGATGTATTGTTTTCTAATGGTTTATTATGCTCTCACTTTCAGAAGCAATATCTCTCTTTAATTGGTTTATCTTGTTCATATTTGCCCCATTCTCAATTTTCCATGCTTGTGTCATTTTTCATGTCACACTGTCTTTTCCTTTTGTCATCTTTTGGTTATTTCTATCCCTCCACTCACTGGAATCAATGTTTTATTTTTTCTCTGCTAATAGTGATGACCACTGCTGAATCTTGAGAAGCAGCTGGGACCTCCCTTCCTCTACTCGCTCAGAGACCAGAAGCTGAGCCAGCTGTCCTGCTGATCTGTCCCTCAGTGGAAGTCACACAGGTTGCTTAGAGGAGCTGGTTCAGTTGCATGTATCTAGTTGATGGCACTAAAGGCTCATGACATAGTTTCACTTATGAAAGCTCCAGTAAACACTCAGATTGTTTAGGGCTTTACTCTAAAATTGAACAAGTTGTAGTGAAAGATTTTGTGAGCAAAATGAAGGCTGAAAGGGTATATAATTACTATTTATAAATACATCAGGGCAGGGACAGTGGAGCCTTCCCAAAAGGGGGGGGGCAGGGGCCCCCGACTTCCTCCCTGAAACCCCTCCTTTTCTTCCCAAGGCCACGCCCCCACCCCAACACTCCTCTTCCCCTGGTGGCCCTATCCCCGGACAAGCCAGAAGCCGGAGCCGAGCCAGGGAGCCCGGGCTCCCCACCCAGGGCAGGTGGAGGGACCCAGGCTTCCACAGCTGCCCACACTGCTCTTACCCAGACCCAGCCCTTACCATGGGCACAGCCCAGGCACGGTTAGAGCTCCAGGGCAGCTTTAAAAAATGGGAGGGCCTTGGGCCCCTGCATCCCCCCCCCCCCCCCGTTCCAGCATCCCTGTATCAGGGGGTAAACACCAGGGAGGGTATTTAAGCTAAAGGACAATGTTGACAGAAGAACTTCCACTGAGTAAGTTTAAACATGGAATTAGAGGAAGGTTTCTAACCACAAGAGGAGTGATATTCTGGAACAGTCTTCCAATAGGAGTAGTGGGGGCAAGAAAACCACTAGTTTTAAGATAGCTTTAATATTTCTTGGTTGCCTGATATACTAGGGGACTGCACTCAATGACTTGATGACTCAGGAGGTCCCTTCCAATCCTATATCTTATGTTTTTAATCAGTGAGTTTCAACTGAGGCTATGTCTACACTACCATTTATGTCGGCAAAACTTATGTTGCTCAGGGGTGTGAATATTCCACCCTCCGAGCAACATAAGTTACACTGGCATAAGCGCGAGTGTGCACAGCACTGTGTCACTGGGAGCATTTTTCCAGCTCACATACCATCTGTCACTCGTGGGGGTGGGTTTTTTATGCCAACGGGCATAAGTTGGCACAGTCTCTTCACCACACCCCCTGCCATGCTGTACTAGTACATCTGCGCCATTGCAGTGCTGTATGTATAGACATGCCCTGAAATCCTTCAACACTCTATGGGCTAAAAAGATCTGTGCTTGCATGTCTGTTAAACTCCACATCCTCTAGGAAAGGAGGGGGTGGGGCTTAGAGGTATTTATGTAGGAGGAAGATAGTGGGAAGCAAAGTGAAGTAGGGTCCAGAGCTGGTTCTAGTGGGAAGCTACCCCTGGGAGATATGCAGCTGACTGTCCTCTGATCCGGGTTTTCCTCATTGAGACTGCCTTTCCCAGCTCCCCACCACCCCAGCCTCCTAACTGCTTCAGGAAGCAGAGGAAGGGAGTGAATCCAGGAGGGCAGTCTCAGTGAGGTGAAGGGCCTCCCCCCACCACAGACCCAACCCTAGCCATTGATCTTCCCCAACTCCAACCCAACCACCTCCCGCATCCTCCTGCAGCCCAAGGACCATCCCTCTGCCCTGGAACAAATGGCTGCACTTCCACAATGCCCCTCCTCCTCTGACTCCTGCTTTGGCTGGGGTCCAAGGCACAGCAATGGTCCTGAGTGTGTTATGAGTCCATTTAGTCTTGGTAAATGGAAGTGACGTCTCCAATACAGACTCAGAGATGTACCAGAATAATCGTAAACCCCATTTGAGAGAAAAAAATAGGTATTTGTTTATTGCCATTTCTGATTTTAAAATCTCCACTGGATTGTAGAATAATATAATTTAATATACGTTTTGTTTTTATCTAACCCTACTGTTTGTATACCATATTTAAGACAAACCTTTAAAAGTCAAATGAGGAAAAGCATAACTTATTTAGAGTCTTGGACAGAAAAGACATAGTGAAGTGAGTTCTATATATTCCTAAATTGAGGGATGTAAACTGTACATATTTCTACTTCACTAATTCACTTCAGTGCCACAGAATACAAAGCATTAAAATAACAAAAGGCATACCACACATTTCAGGGACTTCATCTGAGTTGTCTCCACAGTCATCTTCTCCATCACACACCCAAAAATGGAGTTTACAAAGTGAATTGTTGCACAGAAACTCATCGGCTTTACATATATTTCCCCCTTGAAGAAATAAATACATTGTGAATTCATGGTATAAATAAAACAAATACACCCTATTTTCATTTGTCCATATTCTACTGTAAGCTAATGAAACATGGAGCATAATTTAAAGGCCCAAATCCCATGGGGAAGGCTTGGGAGAGGCTTGCAGAAAGGGGAGATGGCCATTCAATACATTTTCCCCAACATAGCATAGCCACTCATTGCTCTTTCTTTGTTTTGTGGCTCCTGTAATGGAGCCAAGTTCAGTGTGACTTTGAGGGGCTAAGGCAGGGAAGGAGGTACAGGAGTCAGGAAATAGCCACCCCATGTAGCGTGTTCCCCTTAAAGTTAGGTTTCAGAGTAGCAGCCGTGTTAGTCTGTATCCGCAAGAAGAACAGGAGTACTTGTGGCACCTTAGAGACTAACAAATTTATTAGAGCATAAGCATATGCATCTGAAGAAGTGGGCTGTAGCCCACGAAAGCTTATGCTCTAATAAATCTGTTAGTCTCTAAGGTGCCACAAGTACTCCTGTTCCCTTAAAGTTATTCAGCCTCTATAATAGTTAAAATATCTTAGAATCATAGAACCATAAAGTTAGGAGGGACAGCCAGGGTCAGATAGTCTAAGCCTCTGCCAAGACGCAGGATTTGTTGTGTCTCAACCATCAAAGACAGATGGCTATCCAGCTTCTTTTCGAAACCCCCCAGTGAAGGAGCTTATTTTAATCTTCTTCTATGCAGCTTTTCTTTATTGCAGAAGAGTTCTGAGGGCAAAGGACTTGAGTACATCAGGACACAATGCTACAAGGTACAAGTGGAGAAACAAAAAGAAAGGTCCCAGCTTATTCAAGGCCATACCTCTCCAGGTTTGTCCTAAATTGATTGTGATGCTCCAACTTTGGCTCTCCATTCCTCCTCCCAAATCCACTCTGCCACAGACCATATATTCCAGAAGTGATAGCGCAATAGAGCGTAACAGCCCAACAAACACCTTTTGTGTCTTTTCAGTAACAGAGTGGACGGTTTGGGTTTGCTCGTTAATTCAGTTCAAAAAGGACCATTGAGAGACATGGGACAGAAGTTACTTTATATATTATATATGCTTAATTATAAAAGTCTAAGTATTTATGGTATTTCCTCCTTTTCCAATATGCCTAACTCTTTCTTGAAGTGGTGTAACTTGTATTCTACTAAAAACACTTCAATTAGCATTTAGATTATTAAATATGTTGTTAATTATTTTGTTCATATATCAATTATATCACAATACAGAATTGATTTTCTTTATCAAATTAACAAGAAATTTAGTAAACAATAACAGGTGTTTGGGCGTTTGTTTTTTAAACAATTAAGAACATTAGGTAGATTGCCATGCATAGTGAATACAAACATAAGAATAATTTGCCATGTTTATTAGGTTTTAAGTTCTCTAACCTAAGTAATATAGTCATTTCTGTTTTGTTCAAGGTTTTTAATAATCCATCCACTTGAAGTTTTCACAATAGGAACAGATGTTGTAGTATTAAGAACAGCTTCTGGCTTCTTGTATTCATTTGTGGTAGCAGTGACTAGTGAAATGACAGGCTTAGTTGCTATTTCAATTTAAAGATCAACACTATTTATCTGTTTGAATATTTATTTAATTGACAATAACTCCCCATTCTTTTAAAATATGCTAAAATGTTTGAAAATTTCTCTTTACAAATCACCTTTTTTATGAGTTGCATACCGGGTTCTTCCCCCTTGACCACTTCACAAGTCATCAGTTTTTTTCTCCTTACATAATACGGCAGTAACTTGAATCTTTAGGAGGCTTCTCAAAGAACTGTTAGTCACTTTATATTTTCATTTGCACACTGGACTTGTTTAAACTTTGACCTTCTAGGATGCAAATTATTTTCAAATGTGAAAAGTGTAACTTATATTGGTCTAAACAAGGATCAGTCAGTTTGGACTAAACATTTGATGAAGTGGGATTTGTTCTGTTTTGTGCTTTACATAAAAAGACAAAGTATTGCTACCTGTTTACACAAAGCGGTATAACTGAAGCACATAAAAGGCAGTTTTAACAAAGAAAAAACTATTTCTTTACACTTTTAAACTTTATTGATCACTTTCTTACAATGATTCATGCTTCATCACTTGCAAATGTGATACTCTTCTTAGTTAATATTTCTGTTTCCCTTTGTAATTTTAAATACCCTCACAAAACCTCACCTCTTCCTAGTTTTAAAGCTACTTATTCTAATGATTTGACTTCTTTCATTTTCTTGTTCTAAGTCCAATATTTTGTTCTCAGTAAAGATAACAGTTGCTGACTGGTTTGATTCTGTTGTTGATTATTTGCATTGCACAAGGTCTTTGAAACTAACAGAGTTTGTTAGAAGTATTGTAAATTACTCTTTTTTAGTATGATCAATGTAGAATGTTTGGATCAAATCAAATAACTTAATTAAGAACAATAGTCTTGATTAAACTCCTCATTCTAAAAGAAAGGATGCTGTTGGCAAAGCTGTTTATGTGAGGAGCCTTTAACCTTGGAAATCACTTCCCCCCACCATTTGCTGACCTTAATGATACCTTGCAAATCTAATCTTTTCACCCCAGCTACTGGAGGATCGAGTACAGTGATGATCTGTATATACTTTATTTGTTTCCACCCACAGACACACACTTTACCATGCGGACAGCTACCAGACACCAAAGCCCACACATTCTAAGCTTCTGAGATGTCCTTTAACTCTCTTAGGCTTATCTTTCATTCTTATGAAACTTAAGAAAGAAATTCCCAATGACATTTCTATTGTGGCACTCATATTGTACCTGCCAGTTAGGTGATTAACATTCATCACGTTGGCTCATCATTCATGGTGGTAAATAATGATAAGGAAAAGTCAATTCTACATAGATGTCTGGATCAAATGGTAAGCTTGGCTCACTTGAACAACATGCATTTTTATACAACTAAATGCAACACCATTCATCTGGGAGCAATTAATTTTGCTATCGCTTTTAGGATTGGGAACAAGTAGTTGCCAAGATGCTGAATCATGCATTTTTCTTGTTAAGACTTGATTATGCTTTGCTTTACTCTGCTGTGACACACAAGACTCTATACGTTACACTTACTGAAAAAAGTCAGGTGTTGGAGTCTGGCATCCCTATAGTGACAGAGTTAAGGTTGTAGTTTGTGGTGTATGGTACTTGAGGCAGTCGTTAAGTGGAGGATTAGAGCATAAGTACTGTTATGTGGTTTACCTTTTCATTTCTATCCCTCAGGAGGAAAATTGTGTGCAGAAGCTTTTTAATGATGTTCTATTTGCTTTTACTTATTAAGGCAAGGTTGAAGAAGTGAGATTAGTATGGGATTTGTCAGTGCTCAGCATCTGTGAAAATCAGACCTCTTCTATTTAGGTGCCTAATTATGTATTTAGAAGCTTGGATTTTAGGCATTCAGATTTGGACCTAAATGTTTAACACTTAGGTCCCAATACTCCAACTTGTTCTTTGTGGGTGGGCCCTCTACCATAGAGCCCCTAAATGGCGCAGGAGTCCACCCACATGGAATTAGTTGCAAGATTGGGGCCTTTATTATTTTTCTGTTTTGTTTTATTTTGCAGCTTGTTTGAAAAATGTACAGCTCTGTATATTAATGTTGCCTAAACTGGCTATAAACTATAGACTTTTTTAACATTCTGAATTTTCTTCTTTGATAATACTTGTACTGAAGGCACATTATTTTCTTTCCCATGGAACAAAAAACTGTTATACAAAGTGAAAGAATTAAGCAGCATGATTGTGACATTGCAGCCAGGCATTTGAGGAACAGCTGTAATGTCTTTGTAAGAAGGGATCACAGAGCCTTCATTTAATCCACTTTAGTAAACTCTGGGGTGCTGCTAACGTTTATAGGCTTAAATATAAATAAGTGGAGAAAATTGAGAGTTTACCATTTAAGGACAAGAACAATGTCTCACCTCTTTCACAGTTTTCTTCATCACTGCCATCCACACAGTCATGGATTCCATCACATAGCCATCTGATGGGGATACAGTGGGCCTTATTTTTGCATCGAAACTGATCTTCTTTACATTCTGTTACACAATCCATCTGTTTAAATACAGATGTGTACTGCAGTATTCATTAACAATAACAATACAGTTATAGACAGACCAAGCAGAATTCTTCAAGGCTGTTAGAATTTAATTGCCCTGGCTGCTGCTGCTTCTTTACTACACCTCTACCCAGATATAACGCGACTCGATATAACACGAATTCGAATATAACGCAGTAAAGCAGCGCTCCGGGGGCGGGGCGGGGCTGCACACTCCGGCAGATCAAAGCAAGTTCGATAGAACGTGGTTTCACGTATAACGTGGTAAGATTGTTTGGCTCCCGAGGACAGCATTATATCGAGGTAGAGGTGTATTTACAATGCAATTGAAACTGCTATTGAATTTCAAGTCAAGATCTGGAATATAAATGTTCCGATATTATATGTTTGCATATTTTGCTTTATCATTTGGTGGGGAAAACATTGGGCTCATGGAATTAATTCTTGTTTTATTAATTTTCAGTTTCTAAAATTGTTGATCGTAAACCTCACATCAGATAGTATAAGGGGCTCAAAAGAAATGCATCAGTTACCTCATCAGAGCCATCAGCACAGTCAAATTCTCCATTACACCTCAAAGATGCTGAGATGCATCCTCCACTGGCACACACATACTCGCTTGAAGAGCAGGTTGGAGATGCTAATTACAAACATAAATTTTAGCATTAGCAATTCATAAATAAGTAACTTCATATTTCAATGTTAGTATTATGTAAAACATATTAGATAAACATATTTTGTTGTAATTTACAATATTTTGTGCAAATTCCATAATCCATAATTATGGTGCCTGTTTTGACAAAAAACAAGTTGCTGTGCTCCTTAAAGGCACTGCTAAAAAAGTTGCAAGTGTATTTTTTATGGCAAAAGTACTTTTTTATTGTCTTCATGCTCAGAATGTTCTGGGTAACAGACAACAGGATGTTAGTATGGAAACCTCTTAGGCAACCTTGACCACAGTGATAACTACCTCTATCACTCTAATATAAATGTGTATTTTCAAAGAGAAACAATAACATATAAATACAATAGCAATAATAACAATAACAACAAACAACAACAACAACAATAATAAAAGTAAGTAAAACAATTGCACTAATATACCATCTTCCAGCTAAGGATCTCATACATTTTGATAGCTAATTGGGACTTAAGTGACATACAGGTCTTGTGCAGGCCCTCTGTAAACAAGGGGATTTTATTAATTAATGAATTAAGCCTCATATTACTCTTGTAAGGTAGGAAAATATTCTATTTTACAGATGGTAAAGTTGAAGCACAAAAACATTAAAAAATTTGCCCATGTTACACAACAAATCTTTTCTGCAATGGAAACTGAATTCAGATCTCAGGCCTCTCAATCCCAGCACTGGTTTTAGGGAGGTGGATGATCACGATGGATGCTTTGGGAGCCAACTTTCTGGAGCATCTGATCATCATTTTCAGGGATTCCAAACTTTCCCCCTGCCTTTTTGTTTGTTTGCACATTTTGAGTGGGGTGGGCACTAAAAATGTTTTCCACTCTAAGCAAGATATGAGGTGAAGGGCACCATATATTTAATACAAACTATCTCAATAATCTAAAGAAAATGTGTAGTAAGAGTAGGGTATAATTTGTATTTATATTGCATCAGAATTGAGTGAGGCACTTTATACTGTAAAAATGACAAGGTTCTCATCCCAAAGACTCCACATTCTAAGGCATTCAGTTATGCATCAGATCTGTGGGTATGGGCCCTGGTGCCTCTACAGAGTACGAGTGACTTCAATCAGACTCTACATGGGCACAAAGGACAGCACTAGCAAATTACAGTACAGGTTCAGGGCCAAAATACACAATGAAACTAACAAAAAATTACGTGCATCTTGTATATTGTTTCCAATATAAACATCAGAGGTATAGGGTAATTTGACAAAAAACAAAACAGCTCAAGTATTTTTTTACAACTGTGCAGAATAATATCAGGTAAATAGAACATCTCTTCTAAATTTTAATAATGAATACTAATATTATTATTAATAATGCATAACCCTAACATCTGAAGATCTTATAGTACCTTATTATGCTTTAAACACCACAGTCCTTATGTGAGGAAGTTAACCATTATTATCCCAATTTTACAGCATGGGAAACTGAGTAAAAGGCAGACTAAATGTCTTGCCTAGTTTTACACAGGAACTCTTGTAGTAGAGCTCAGACTAAAAATGCTCGAGCTCTGCTCCTAGTATCATATATGCACCACAGGACAACATTTCCCCCCTTCTCCTAAGCCTTCTGTTTGCTTGCTCTGTGGATGCCCAGCCACAAGTAGCAGTAACAATGTAGTTCAAGAGCACTGTGGTTTGCTGCACCCGATTCTCAAGCATACCATGTCATTCAGGGAGATAATGAAAAACACATGGTCTAAGCCAGGGGATCTCAAACTGGGGGTCAGGCCCCCTCAGGGGGTCACAAGACTATTACATAGGGGGTCGCAAGCTGTCAGCCTCCACCCCAAACCCCACTTTGCTTCCAGCATTTATAATGGTATTAAATATATAAAAACGTGTTTTTAATTTATAAGGGGGGGGGGGTCACACTCAGAGGCTTGCTATGTGAAAGGGGTCACCAGTAAAAAAGTTTGAGAACCACTGGTCTAAGCCATTGGGATGGATGGTCAGACCCTAGGAACTCTCTATTTCATATCTGGAAATGTAATGTGAAACTAAATCAGTTTTTCAGAAATTCTTTGCAAAAAGGAGCACATATACAACAAACCAATGAATTTCCTACTGAGCCATGTGCCTGTTATTTCTGATACCCCTCATCTTGATTTGTTTACTCACTTTTTCTTTTCTGTTCTTCATATCTTTTTAATACTTTTATTTTTTTTCCTGGAAAATTTAATGATTACTTATATAGACCTACCTGGTTCACAATTTTTCTCATCATCCCCAAATTTGCAGTCTTCATGACCATCACATTTCCATTTTGCTGATATGCACTGACCATTGGAACACTGGAACTGGTCTTTTGAACAACCAGGTTCACAGTATCGCTGTTATAAACAAAACAATATAATTGAGTATATCTATTAATATAAAGGTATTATATAAAACATTTGCAAATGGTCAGCCAGTCAGAATGGCTAGGGCCCAGTTCTGCCACCTTTACTCAACAATGAGAAGTACCTTGCTACACAATAAGAAACTACTGATTGTGAATAAAGGTGGCAGAATTGAGCCCTTAATTAGCAAAGCACTCTTTAAAAAGGGGTACAGTTTTTGCAATGGGATAGCTGGCACCTTATTTGAGAGTCACTGTTAGTAGTATAATTATGGTGTCCTGATCATAATTTTGGCAGACTTTAACCTGTAAATATTAATGTAATTAACTCCTCCCCCAAACTATTATTAATATATTGATGCCTGCTCTCTATGGGGTGTCTTTACTTAATAAAGTGTTATCAAATGTATTTATTTACTTGTGAAACCATTTACCCTGTATCAAAATATATTAAAAATGTTTCAACTACTTAAATGTTCAATAGTAAAAGATGCTCAAAATAGGACGGCAAGACTAGAAGACTGAAACAAAAAGGATATCAGGGCACAACATTCTCAGTGGTAGCAAATTTCAAAGAAATCTGAGAGAAATGTATGAGATGTAGCAGAGCTATATATAATGATGGAAAACAACACTATTACAGAAAAAAAAATAAAGTTAATTTTAACATGATCAGATACAGCATAGAGCAACAAGCAGATTTGTGTGCATTTATCAGTGTAGGAAGAAGAACTCAGTTATGCTATCAATAAATATCTTTAGTATATATATAATTAGCAATCCTAAAGGATTCTATAAGCTTAATTTCTTTGATTTCTTAGAGCCATTTACAGCTCTAGAGTTATATGTATAATTCCCATTTCTCTCATTTCTGATAGTTACAATATTTACTTAGTAATATTTCTATATCAGAAGTACTGTTTTTACCATCTGCTTATACCCTGTGCTCCATCATCAAGGGGCTTCATTCCCTTATTCCATGCAACTGCCACTGCTTTTAATAGGAGTTGCATATGTTGACTTGGGGTAGAATGTGAATATTAGTAAACGGGTGCAAACTATAAACAGAACATGTAAATACTGAAACTATCTGAGGCTGCGAAATGTATGTACACAGACAGCATGATTGTCAGGTGACTATATTCTGCACTTGCAGCACAGGGAACAGAACTCACATTCTTTTCCTCCAAAAAAGACAAGCTTCTGCTACATAAGCTAAATGAGAATTTCTCTTAGATATAACTAGTAGCATTAGTTCTATTTTCCTTCCCCACTGGTTGTGATATTTGATGGCTAAGGATGGAGTTTTTTGTTGCTTCCCAGTGAGGGGGGAAAACAAATCCTACTTCAGCAAGCTGTATTTTGATCTCAGTTTTGTAAAGGAATTTTTTTTTTCTTTTTGCCTGTGAAGAAGCCTACCTCATCTGAGCCATCTGCACAATCATAATCCCCGTCACACCAGAATCTCGCAGAAACACAATCTCCATTTGCGCAGAGAAAGTCTTTCAAAGTGCAGGTTTGAGGCTCTGAAGGAAAGAAAATAATTAAATGCTTATAGCCTTAATATTGTTTTGAAACTATACTCTTAAGTTCCACAAGGAAGGAACAGAAAATATTACACAAAACAAACTACTTTTAGCCAAACAAATGTGAATGAATGGTTTTTAAAAAACAGAAAATATTAATCAAACTGTTGTAATAAGGACTTTTCATATGGTTAAGAATTTGTGTCAAAATATTCTAAAAATAAAAAATCTTTGCTTATGACAGATCCTTAGAAAGGATATCTTTTGAGCTAGCTCATAATTCTTCACACAACTGTAAATTATATTTAACAATGAATAGACTTTACATTAAATTATATTATAGTGCATAACTCTTTACATTGCCAAATGCTTTTAAATACTTATGAGCAGTTGCTATCCATATGCAGAAAAACAATCTACTATTGGCAGGTTTGTTTTTTTGTTATAACTACTAGTTGTCACCCATTTTATCAAGGGATCTGTCACAAGACTAGAAATGGAACTTTTTCCAGACCTGGTAATAAGAGGGGGAAGTAGAAGAAAAGGGACCCTTGGACTTCTGTAGCATATTTATACACCTTTTTGTAAGTGTATAAATAGTTACGGACAGACCAAGCAGAATTCACATAGGCGGTTCGAATGGTATTGCTGAGACTCCTGCTTTTTTATTTTTTAACTGAGAAGAGGGACTGGTAAGGGTCTAGGATGGAATTGGAAGAAGGGAACTCCAAGTACAGTTGTAGACGGCATGTTCGATGAGCTTGGAGATGAAGGGGAGATGGTATGGTAGTTGGAGAAGCAGATAGGGCCCAGGGTGGGATTTTTGTGAGCAGGTAAACTAAAACGTGCTTCTATTCTGGGGAAAGAAATGAATCAGAAGACAGGCAAGAGGTTGAAGAGAAAGGTGAGAGTGGAGGCAAGGCATGATGGGATGTGGGCCCCTGGAGGATTTAAAGGAGAAAAGCAGACAAGAAACTTCCTTATGAGTGATGAGTGACAAACAGGTTAGAGTAGAGAAAAAAAGGAAATGAAAAAAGAGAGAAAGTCCTATCATATCTCATCAATTTCTTCTTTGAAGAAGTCAGAGGGATCCTGAGCAGAGAAGAAGAAAGGTGCAGGAGTGGGGAGCTCCAGAGGAAGTGAAATGTGGCAAAATGGTTGCTGGGCTAAGGATTGTGGGATAGGATGTGTGTGCGGAAGTCGAGCTGATTAGCTATGGAGATGGAAGAAATTGAGGAAGAGACAGAGCATTCATAGTGGAGAAAGTCCACACGATTGTGGGACTTCTGCCTGAGACAGAGCAATGTGAGCACAGGAGTGAAAGAAGCAGATGGTGGAAGTGAGCTAGGAATACAGGGTTAACTGGTGGAACCTTGTGATTAGAGAGAAGGGCAAATGAGTTAGGAATGGTGGATGGCAAACTGTGAAGAATTGATAACTGAGTTAATGGAGGAAAGGAAAGAGGGCAGGGAAGAGGGCGTTGAAAGCAGAGACAGTCATGGTTGTTGATGGATTGGGAGTCACTAAAGGATCAGATAGTAGGATGAGGAGGAGGAGGCAAGTGAGTTATGTTGAAAGAGCCAAGGTAGTCATCAGAAAGGGTGAATACAAAAAAAGAGATCTCAGTGATAGAGAAGAATTTGGTGAGCACCAGATCAAGTCAGAGGTTGTTTTCCATACGGCCTTTCATCTAAGTATTGGGAGTCTTAAGTCCAAATTGTCTTGAGAAATTGTTCATCGATGTGGGAGCAAACAAATTATTGCCCAAGTCTGAGATACATTTGAACCCTCACACCACTCAGATTACGGACACACTGCCTGTAAGACCTGAAAGAGCAGGTGGTCGGGCTCTCTCTTTTAATGCAGCTGGTTTCTTAAATTTTACAGATGCGGAAGAGAGAACATTGACGTGTGACCAAGCTCTTACAAAAGAGAGCTTTAAGAGAAAAAACAGAGGAAACCAGAATTCTAGTGTAAAAATTATGTGCTATTTATTCCTAAAGGACGTGTTCCTTCTCTTCATAAGCAGTAGCTTCTGAGAGTGACTGCTATAAACACCTGTTCAGAAGCTTGGAATGAAACACACCTCATCCCTGTCAGCTCCTCTTGTAATTCCCTGCCACAATAGTAGTATCTACAGATCTTCCTCCTGATCCTTTCCTGGGTTCTCAGTCATTTTTAACACCTCTGAACAGAAAAGACCTAATCGGACAAACTTAGAGAAGAAGACTAATGAGATCTGCTCTGTGCAAGGCAGAGCAAGGCTGAGGAGTCTTAAATTCAGTTGGACTGATGCCGAAAATACTCTGTACTATAGATTGCTCATGCTTTTCAAACTTGTCACTAGTGAAAATCCACTGACGCAGAAGTTGATGCTGTCCACTCAGAGCAAGAATGAGATCCCAAATTACATGTCTGAGACCTAGTAGAGCATTAGTCAGTGTGAATTATTATTGCAAGGATTTTGAAAGAGGGTATTGGGAATTTTTTCTTTTTTTCCTATATTATGGTTAGTGACATACTTAGCAGCAAGACATTTTGAAGGAAAGCATTCACACATAGATTAGTAGTCATCACTTTTCTCTGCAAACAATAAAGCAATCTAGTAACTGCCATATGACATTTTCCCCTTCCTCCCACATACATACACTTTCTTTCTTTTAAGTGCCAATTGCATCCACAGATCCCCACCTCCTTTTTAAAAAAAACACACTTTAACTTTCAAAATGGGAACAACATGAAAAAAAATTGGTAAGGCAAATAATTTCAAAAGTAGCTTATGATTCTGGGTGCCTTTCAGAAATACTGAGCATACTGCTGATCAGAACTCCTACTAACTGCAACTAAAGTTGGATGCAGGGTGGGTGCAAGGATGTTTCTAGCCCTAGGCTAAACTTTCACCTTGCGCCCCCCCGCTTCCCCGAGCCCTCCGGCCGCCCTCCCCCCCCAGGCCCTCCCCCCGCCGCAGCCCCCCCCCTCCCCCCTGTGGCACCCCCCCCCCCCCCCCCCCGGCAGCTCCCCCCGGCCCGGGGAGCCATGCGGCAGCTCCCTGCCCCAGCTCACCTCTGCTCCGCCTCCTCCCCGAGCACGGTGTCGCTGCTCCACCTCTCCCGCCTCCCAGGCTTGCGGCGCCAATCAGCTGTTTGGCACCACAAGCCTGGGAGGGAGAGAAGCAGAGCGGGGCGGCGTGCTCAGGGGAGGAGGTGGAGCAGAGGTGAGCTGGGGCGAGGAGTTCCCCTGCGTGCCGCCCCCCCCTTACTTGCTGCAGGCGGCCCTCCCCGCGCCCCCTGCCCCCTCCGCCTAAATGCCGACGACGACCGGGGCGGCCGAAGATCCGGCCGCCGCGGTCGCTGCTGAAGGACCCGAAATGCCGCCCCTCAAATGCTAGCACCCTAGGCGACCGCGTAGGTCACCTGACGGGTTGCACCGGCCCTGGTTGGATGCATTTAAGAACTTCTGGAAATTAAGTACAAAGAATCTGAAGCAAAGCACCCAAAAACTAAAACACCCCATAATCAGAGACTAATTTTGAAAAATGTTGCTCAAGCATTTAAGAGTGAAATACATGTATATTGCCATCAGCACCAAGTAGTCTGACTGTTGAATTC